AATCAAGTTAGGTTTAAGGCTCCTGTGGTTAATTCTTTGGATGTAAGGTATTTTAAATTTGTTTGCTTTCTTCATTAGTTTTCTCACTAATTATATTTATGAATTGAATAAAAAGAGTGGATTACTTACTTACTTATTTATAAAATTTATTGGTGCCCATCTTACCTCAGGGTAACTCTGGGCGCCATACAATCATTAAAAAAAATATAAACTACACAAAGATAAAATCATAAATAAAAAACTATAGAGAGTCAAATACAGCGCCCCAGTTATAAGATGGGAAGGGCAGAAGCAGGATTGGGTGGAGGTGGCATCTGTTGTTAATTGATCAACCACCTCTACTATTATACTCCCCCATTAGTGCCCAAGTGAACTAGCCTTTAGACTCTTATGGGAGGTCCTCACAGCCTCCAGGCATTGCAAGTGGGCAATTATAGCATCCCAGGTCTCCAGGGATAGAAATACAAAGTTGAGTATTGTCAGTGTACTGCAGATACATCAACCATGGTGATGGACAATCTCACCCAGTGGCTTCATGTAGATGTTAAAAAGGAATGGAGAGAGTACCAAGCCTTGTAGCATGCCAGAAGAAACTGGCCAAGGGTTGGACGTCTCGCTCCCTATTAACTGTGAGCTGCCCTGAGTCCCTTTAGGGAAAAGGGCGGCATACAAATAAATTAAACCTAAACCTAACACTGGTTGGATTGGTCTTGGAGAAAGAAATTGAACTAGCACAACTGTGCTGCCCATACCTCATAGACAACCCAAACAGGTGCCATAGTTATGAATAAAAAAGAAATCGAATAATGCAGCAAATAAAGTATTCTGTAGTAAATGAACAACTTAAAAAATCTAAGAATCTATGACAACCAGATAGTTATTAAATTTCTTAGTCTCAGTGTTGAAGCAAACAAATGAATACTTCTAAAGGTATACATAATACATACTGGCAAAAAAGGAACTTTAAAGCATACACACTACATGATACAATTTTAATACATCACAAAATAAATTGCTAAATAGGTATAGATTATACCCATTGCAAGATTATTGATCTGACATTCCAAAAAGATATGATAGTAATGAATATTAAGCTGTCACTAATCAAGAAAATTGCATCAGTGTGGTAAATACAACTACTGTATCTCTATAACTAATATAAGAGGTTTACTTGTCATAGTATTCAATTGTTAGTTAAACCATTGCAACCTGCCCTTACATATTACTGAACCTAAGATATACTTTACAAAGAAAAGTGATAGATTCACAAACATCACAAACCATTCTTTATAAATCATTCAAGCAAGATTGTAGTTTAGTAAAAATAATAATTGGGAATTATTCAATACTTGGATGGTTTCAACACAAGTAAATTCTGTTGGTAATAAATAATAAATCAGCCAACTCGTAAACAGCTGCAACAATTTTCTGTAAGGCCACCAAAGACTCATGTGTTTGTCTTGGTTTGGTGGACAAGTTAAAGATATGAATAGAAATGTGAAGATTCATGAAAACAAATCTTTCCCATTCCTACTTAAGTCTAAAATTGAACTTTTGAAGTTCAACAGTTAAAAGAATAAAGAAAAGGAAGTGAAAGAAGAATTGAAAAGAAAAACTAATTGTAGTTTTAAATGATTAAAACCAATTAGTAGTGTACGAGACATTAATTCTACCATTCTTGTATGGAAGGGCACTTAAAACAAATGACTTTAAAACTCTAAAAATTCTGGACAGAATATGAATGTCTTTCCAGATGCTAAAAATAGATTAATTTGAGCACCAGGTCCCCCACTGTGTGGAAGGCATCCTCTCAGTGGGGCCACAAATGAGAAGGACCCCTTTCAGCCAGCTATCTCACTTCACTGAGTTGAGGTAGCCAAAGAACATGAGCAGCATATACAATAAGAATTGTGCTGTCTTCTGCTAATTTCAATTAGGAAAGAAAAATAGAATAGAATTCTATTTTCTGTACTTATAAAATTACATTTTAATGTAATAAAGTTGGCCTTCCCTGTCTATTTGTGACGTGTATATTTTACCTTAATGTTAAGATTACAACATTTTTTTTTATTTTTCTATCAGTTTCCAAAAGAATCATTCATACTTATTATTCATGATGACAATCATTATTCAATTTAATTTATATTCACTCTTTTTCTCTTAAACAAATTTTCTGACTTTATCAGAAAAAATTAATATCCACTAATACTATCATAAACTTTCCCCAAAACTATACTCTTAAGCTGCCTTGAACTTGTGACTACCAAATGCTCTTTAACCTTTCTCCCTTTATAGAATATCTTTAGAGAGAGCATTGCTAGATTGTGACTTGGGCTAATTTTTGTTCACACCTGCAACTAAATAATCTCTGGTCACCTTTAGGTTATCTGCTATTATCAAATTAATATGCATTGATAATTGCCTGGACTTTTCAATATTTGTATTTAAAATTGTTGACATTTAATGGGAACAAAACAATTCAACTTCCTGAAGTTCAGCACTGGATGAAATGTTAATGTGCTTATTCTGGAGTAGCAGTAAATGTCCTGTGGCAAGTCTTAGTTCAAATAATAGTTTGGGCTGGAAGCTTGGATTTAGGTTGAAATTTATCATGTAGACAGGAAGCATCATATTGGAAAAGATTAAAATAACCAGAAGAAGTTGTATGCAAAGGTTTAGTTCATAATTTAAGAATTACGAAGGAGTGGTTTTTCACTGTCACTGCTATATCCAACTGAAGTGACAAGTTTCATATTCGGTAGGAAATAGTTTCTGGGTGGAATGTGAAACAGGAGCATGATGGAAGCTGAAAGAACAATTGCATCAGCTTTTCGGTATAAAAGCAATGTGTTGCTATAAAAAAGCTACATATTGATTACAAATGTATTCTTACTGTCTTTTCATTGGAGGGGAATTATGAATGCCTGTGAAATACTTGATACCCATGATGGTGTGTGCTTGAAAGCTGTAGTACTCTTTTGCTTCAAGCAGTAAAAGATTTTCTGCAGCCCTGACAGGACCTACTGGATTCTATTATTTACATAGCTATAGAATATTCTACAGTTCATTGATGAGCACCAAGAAATAATTGAGTGGGGAGTTGAAATTTACCCAAGCTTGTCTCAGAGGTTATTAGCATGAACACTGTACATAGACCAAATAGGTATGTATATTAGTAATTTCATTGACTACAAAATATTAGTTGGTTGAATTTGATAATAACAATAGGAGCCTCTTGTTTATATATTCTGATGAACAGAAGAATTGTCTAATTGTAAATGTCATTGTTTGCATATTTGTTTCCATGTGTAGAAAGAGAGAAAGAATGAACAATATGATTTTTTTCAACTGGATTAATAGCATCCTAATTTCTTCCTGGAACTGACATCACCTTTATTCGTTTGAGGACAAAACATCTTTTTATAATGTTAAGTAAATTGAAACAGTATGTTTGAAATATGTAAATCTAACAGAAATATTTTTGAACATTTAGAAGCCCCCAATAACAGCAAATCTATATAAGATTTTTGTCTAGCTGAAGCTCTACTAAATCTACTAGTCCAGTTTACAGGCATCTTCTTCTATATTTCTAGACCACATTTAATATCTGGACAAATTCTTACTCCATTTCTACAGATTTGATGCTTTAGAATAGAGTACCTACAGTAATCTATTTTTTTCTGCAAAATTAGCTCTTATTTTTGCCACTAGCAAACATTCCTTTCAAGATAAAGTATCTCTCCTTTAGTAGCAGTTTTAACTCTTTAATAAAATTATGAAAAGTCAAAGTAAAATATAAATAATTCTAAATAAATCACTTAATAAGTATTTGCCTTTTTAAAAAAGAATGAAGTTTATATATGATTGAAATTTGTACAACACTTCAGAAAAGCCATCATGTGTTGGATTCAAAAATAAAATCAGAAGCATTTTTATATATAAGTACACATGAAAAATTAGAAATAATCCTGGCTTTAGAAGCCTTTAAAAGTGTATGACCAGCTTTGTATTGATACCCATTTAACAAAGCAGAAATCAAAATACCATACCATATAAACAAAAGTGTACAATAAAGGACATTTTGAAATTTACACAAGAATTAGCCCACAAACATTTTAGTTGTTCCATAAGAGTTCTCTATAAAATGAACTTTAAAAAACCTTAATACAGTTGTCATCATTCATCACTATTTTTTCCACTTAAATGTACACAGAATACTTATATAGCAATATATACCGGTGTGTTGTAACATGGATATTATGGTTAACTTGTTTTAAAAATGAGGTGTGTACTATCCAATCAACATTATTGGTAATTTGAAGATTGAAATACCAATACAGTATGCATTCTCATCATATTGGTAGGTATAAAAACATGAAAATATAATTTTACAATATTTTCTTTATATACATTAGTTCAGGCTTGACAAAGAAATATTTGTACATGACATTTTAAGAGAATTAGGCCCAAGATATAATCAACATAGATTTTCTTGGAATGCATGAATGAAATTATTGTTTCTGTCAAAGAAAACTGATTGGGAATGGTGTGCATATGTTATTTTAATTTATCATTGCTGAGCTGGACTATATTCATTTTCCTGCTTAGATATGAACAGGACAGCTGTAGATTGTATCATCACACTTCTGAGTGGAAGGTTTACCATTAAAAAGTGCAGAAAGATGTTTTGGAATGAGCGGGTTAAAGAATATGAATGTGATTTGTAAGTATTTACCAAAGGGGGGATGGTTAAAATTTATGTCAAATTTACACTGTAGGGTTTTTCATAATACTTTTTAAAATATATGCACATTAAAGGAGAAGGGCAATCCCAGAAAAAAGTTCTTTAGTAAATCTGAGTCATTTATAACAAGGCTGTGTACAAAGTTGTGATAATAGCTCTTGTTGCATTTTCAGAATATAGCAGCACCACTCTTACAGAATAATATTTCTTTTTTCCAGTAGACCTGTTGTACCTAAAATTGTTCTAATGAAAAGGTGGGCCAACTTACTTAAAACAATACTAGAAAAGCACTCATTGTAAAGATGATTAATTGAAATCCATTTATTATTACAAATACAGAACTCTATTTCAAAACTTAGGGTTATTATGAAAATGAACATAAAGGAACATTGTCAAGGTTTTGTCCCCCTTCTCTGAAAGAAAATTAATCACCCAAAACTTTATATTTACTGTTTATATATATCTCTCTCTGGATATTTTCTTTTTTAATTTAAGAATCAACAGCAAAATGTAGAAATAACTCAAAATCAATCTTCCTCTTTCTGTTCTTATACTAACTATAGATCTTTCTATGATATGGAGATTATGATAATTGTATGCAGTACATTCTTAATCTCAGTTTCTCATTTAACATTCAGTACACAATTTGTCTGGCCTCTATTTGCCTTTTTCAGATCCCATCAGAATAGTTTCGAAGGTCCCACATTACTTTAAATCAAGATAAACTGGAATCAGTTGCTTTACGTATACAGCAATGGAATGTGAATCAAAAGACATTATGCTGGGAAGTAGATAGCCAAGCAACAAATCACATTTGAAGTATGGATTGTGTTCAAAATGAAATATAGCAATTTTACCACAGAGATTAAGAGTAGCTGAACATTCCCCAACAACCTTGACAATATCCTTTTACATTTTAAGTCCATTATAATCAAACTGTAACTAGCAAAATTAACAGGACTACTTGCAAATAAAACCATAGAAAAGAGTTTATTTCAAATGTTGACCATTTGCAAGTATTTTGATATTAACACCAAATGTTAAAGAATAGATATTAAGTAAATTTTAAGAACAATATTAAATTACAACGTTTTTGAATGTTTATTTTTGTATTTTATTCCCCAGCATTTACATATTTGGCTTTGAAAAACAGATGCTAATATCTAAATCTTTTTCGTTGTTAATTTTCCATTTCTCCAAAGTTTAAATTCTTGTTTCATCACCCATAATGGAAGCAAATTTATTTAAAAGCCAGTTTGTCTGTGAAAATACCTAAAAATATTTTTTTTCAATTTTATTTTTTTTTTCTTATAAAACATGTCACATCTTGATGCAATTGATGTCAAGTGTGCTTGAGTCATTATGAATAAGAGAACTGACAACGACGACTGCAGAAATTGGTGTGTTGTTTATACAACAATTTCAGTTAGAATACAGTACTTCCATGTTAGCTATGTATGTCAGTCGAACTTTATCTTAAACTGGTGTAGAAAATGATGTTTGTGGGGTTTTTTGTACTAAGCATTTTTTAACTATTCAAGATGAATTCCACAAATATGCATTCCTGCGGACAAAAATGTCTTCAAGGTACTGGATGCCTCTCACCACTTTGACAATTAATGCACAAGAAAACCATTGTGTAAGGCACTCAAAAGGTTCTTATCAATCACAAGAGATCAGTCACACTGACATTCATTCCCATGCCAGGACTCACGTAAGATACTGCATGCACTGCTTTTGGAAATTCTGGAGTCATAATATGTCCATTTTCTCCAGCACTTTCTGTAATTGACAGCCTTGCCTTGTTCCTCATGGTATCATTCAAGATCATCTTAAGGAAGGAAGGAAGATAAAGAAAATGAGACATTACCTCTGTTCAATATGTAATACAGATCACTATTCTGTTTTTTCATGTTGTCATTACTTTGAAAATCCTTGAGTTTAAACTCTTTTGTTTAATCTTACGATCATTATAAAAATATTTAATAGAAAAAAGTAATCTACAAATATTAAGCATTTTCACATTCAATAACAATAATGAAAGTCTTAGGTTTTTTAGCTGCAGAGAAGAGAAAAGGAGAATAAGCAAGAGAATTATGGGAAGTCGGTGCCAATGCATAAATATGAATTTTTGGTCAGTTTTCTCAGTTAAAACATAATGAAACTATTGAACGTGCATTTAGAAATTAGATTAAAGCCTCATTCCTACCCCCTAAATTTTAACACTTTCGATTCCGTATACGTTGTAACCTTCCTTATAAGTTGCAAAATTTTGTGAGTTCTGTGAGGAAGTTGGGTTAATATTCTGTGCATTCTTTGCCACTTTCATGCGCTTCGCTTCAGCTCTTGACTTGTAACAGAACTCAATCAAAGCCACCAACATGGCTAAACCGAGTCCACCGACGAGAATGTAGAAAACACCAGCCACATTGCTAAGACTAAGCGCACTGGTTTTCTCCTGCAAATGTGCATGGAAGAAGTCAGTTAGAGACCAGAAATGGAATAGAGAAAAGGCACACAAATTACACAGAAAACTTAAACAGACACTAAGCTAATTCACATGGGTGCGTACAGCTTGGTAAGCAGTATGTTTTTCAGAACCTTCAAGGAAGACCGCAGGACAATTATAATATATACACAAAAGCTACAACGAGCTTAAGTTGACCACCCTATAATTTCAAAATGAATTGAGATTATATTGGGTAAAATACTAAAATTGATTTCCCTTCACTTTTAGCAGCTGCTTTTCAAAATTG